ATATATATGTATATGTAGCCTAAATCTAAATAAAAGTTAAATATTACATTAAACTGAAATTTCAAGCCATAAAACTATTTCGACATTACCTATAATAGTTATGTTAATTTGTAAATTTATTTTATGATACGTTTACCTGCCGTAACTTTTATTGTGATCTGACTCAATTTCCCATCAGCCCCCTCGGCAACTCCTCCGGAARAAAACCTCGGCTTTCTTAACGCACTTCCTCTTTCCGTCAACGGAGTTTAGGTACGGTGCCTATTTATTTTTGTCCACTTTTTAATCTTGTATGAATTGCAGTTTTTTTGTGTCATCCACTTTTCAATAACACAAATAAGTGTTCAACAGATGTTGAGCAACATAACCCATGCTGCATTTTAACGATATAAATGTTTGAACGCGTTTAAAGGTTGTTTTTCAGCGCTAATGTGACATGGCGCTGCGTTATAGCGGCTTCAAGGCAGTAGCTGCGGCCCTGACCGATGAATTAGTTATTTGGGAACTGGCACATTTMGCGTGGGATAAGTACATTTATATATAATTGCGATATGTAATCGTTAACGACTCAATATTTGGCCGCTCAGGTCTTCGTAGCGGGATTTGTGGCTGCTAGCTGCTAGGCTAACAGCTAGTAATCAGTGTTAACGTGAAGTTGTTCATGCTTTGGGGTARTTAAGACTAGTTATTGGTCACAGTTCTTCCCTTAAGAGGCGTGAAATTTAAAATCCTTTATAGTTTTACGTAATTTAAAAAGCAGTTAATAGTTGATATATGCAACTTAATAATAAAAGCTTTGTCAAATGCATCAAATAGAAGATATACATCAAGATTTTATAAACATTGGAAGACATGTTCGTATGTTTTTTTTCTCATTTGTTGACGTGTTTTATATTTAATGTTGTGGACATTTTTTTTTGTCTGAGATAAAGTGTATATATGAAATGGCACTAAGATTTTGCTTACAGTCTGCATCTTCATGTTTGAGGTTTTTATGCAGCTGGTAATGTTTTATTTAATTACCATAACTGAGGCTTTCCTTTGATGTTGACACAGTTTCCTGATGTAAATGTCTTTCAGTACGCAATGGGACGTGTGATCAGGGGACAGAGAAAAGGTGCAGGCTCCGTGTTCAGGGCCCACGTCAAGCACAGAAAAGGTGCTGCTAAACTCCGACACATTGACTTTGCTGAACGCCATGGCTACATCAAGGGCATTGTAAAGGTGAGGTGATGATCCCTACTGATCCAGGTCCTTCTGTTGTTGGAGTTGATGTTTAGTTGGTCTGTTGCGTGCTCTCAGGACATCATCCACGACCCGGGTCGTGGTGCTCCCCTGGCCAAAGTGGTCTTCCGTGATCCGTACAGATTCAAGAAGAGGACAGAGCTCTTCATTGCTGCTGAGGGGATCCACACCGGACAGTTCATCTATTGTGGCAAGAAAGGTAAGAAACTAAACTGTAAAACTGATTCAGCGATGTCATTATTATTTAATATCGATTCATAAAATCATGTGATTAGATCCATTGGCCAGTCTGCGCTTCAATCGAGTGTAATCGGAAACAACTTTTATTTTCTAATCTATCGGTGATGGTCGCCACTAAACTTTAGGAGCATTGACGAAATGAATACATGTAAATGACTGGAAAATGAGAAACTCTTTGCATGAAAATCTGCAACTGTGATGCTTCCTGTCTGCAGGAATACATATGTTTTACAGAGGATGTTCACGATGCAGCTAAGTTTGTGTTGAATTGAAAAAATGAGTTAACCACAAAATAAATCAAACTATGAAGCTCTGTAAGCACAGTCTTGTAAAAAAAAATAGCTATTATCTGCCCTTGTAATACAATTGATTTACCTCCCACTCATTCATTCTGTCATTTGAAGTGTGGATTTTTGCCCAGAATCACATAAACTGTCAGGTAAAAATGTTTTATTTCATTCCCTTCACCACCACAAAACGTTTCAGGCTCAGGATTTTTTTCTTTTACTTTAACTCAAGTTTGTCAGGTTTTATGTTTTTACTGTATTCTTAGAATAAGTGTTATTGTTCTACTGCTTTATTTCCAGATTTTGTTTCTCTAAATAATATTTACCTTTTTTTTCTGTTTATATGGGCAAGAATATAAATATCAACCATCCACAGGGACTCTTAATGTATTATTTGTGTACTTTTTATTGTTAGGAAATTGATATAAAAGCTAGGGATGTCCCGATACCACTTTTTCACTTCCGATACGATACCGATATTACAACTTTGAGAAATGTCCGATAC